ACGTGGGTACATGGGGGGGGTAGCACATATATGTGTGTGTGTGTATATACCTACCTAAACCCTCAACCCCAAACCCCATATCCCTATGTGTATAATAGACACTGGGTTTTCTGATCATGGGAACTTAAACCACGTTCCTTCACAGCAACCAAGCCTGCAATCCAAAAGCTGGAAAACCCCCCATAACACATTATTGCTACTGCTGTTACCATTACTTTTACTACGGCTAGTACTACTACCTGTACTATTACTCTAAACCGTATGCCCCTTACTTTTACTACGGCTCTTGCCGAGGCTCCTGTAGCTCTCCAGGTCATCCGCTGTCAGATTCTTCAGAAAGTTTGGGAGGCTTTTCCTTGCTGGTTGTAAGGAAGGAATGGATCCCTATAGTTGTCCCTTATAAATAGAACCCTCTAAAAAAGTTGCTTGCATTGTTTTCCATTCCTTCATTCCCTGCTAGACAGGTAAGCTTCCAGAAGACGCCTTCGATAGCGGCCTCCATTTCATCAGCTGACCGAGATGTGCCCTGCACCAGCGCCGCGACGTAAAGAACCTGTGGCTGGACCCACCAGCAAAGAGAGAAGGGTTGAGGATTCAGGGTTGTACTGTGTAATAACCTGTGCTGAGGCACCCGCGCCTTTGCACACATTATCATGGTTTCGCCTACTACAACCCCATATACTTCCTCCTCCCCTCTCCCCTTATCATACTAGGATACACGGGCCTCCAACGCAGCTGTAAACTTTAGAACCAGTCAACCCTAAACCCTACAGTAAGTAAACCCTAGACCCTAGGCCCATGGAAGGCAAGCCAAGAAGCATTTGACATGCTGCCCACAGCTCCTTGAACCGCATACCCGGTTGAGGGGTTCAGGGTTTAGTGGTTTAGGGGTCTAGGGTTTAGAGGATGAGGGTTCGGGGTCTAGGGGTTTAGGGTTAAGAGGGTCTGCCGACAGCTCCTTGAACCACATATCCGAACTGCTCTTCCGTGCGCAGCTGGGAGTAGATGAGGTTTCCCAAGATCATGCCCTGAGCCATGGGTTTAGGATTCAGGATTTTAAGGTTGTATGGTATACAGGGACAACACTAACCCAAAACACATGATGGAAAGTGAAATGGAAGAGAAAATAGAAAATGAAATGGACTCTACTCTTTAGGGTTTAGATTCATCGTGGAGGATCAAATGAGGGAAGAAATTGGCAAATGACATGGCATCTACTATCTAGTTTTTAGGTTGGGCTTTAGGTATAATCATACGAATATGATCACGCCCCGCACTCCTAAAATGAAATGTGTCCTTAACGGGAATATTTGGTATTAGGGGTTAGGGGGTTTAATGCAAGTATACTTCCCTAAACCCTGAACCCTCGTATGAAGTGATCCGTAGGGGCTGGAGGAATGGCCCTCAAGTAGCCCCATTAAATCCCTGCGGTTCAAGTAAGGCTTAAGGCTTAGCAGTTTCCGTTTGCTGCGCCCCTCTTCTACTGTAGCACAACAAGCCTTTACACACGGCAACGCCCATTTGCAAACCCTGGATTCAAACGTCTCCCTGTTGCACATGGTTTAGGGGTTGGGGGTGCTAAGCTTCCCTCAGCACCTAAACCTTGAAATCTACAATCCCTAGAAAGCCCTCACATGATCCCTTGTGTAAAGTCCCCACAACCGTTCTTACCAAAATCCCCTGGTTATCGGTGGCAGACTAGGCTCAATGGCACCAAAGGCGGCCCGGTTTTCGACATTGGCCAAACCCACAAGCAGCTTGACCAGCGCGACATCATTGGGATCCCCATGTCGAGGATTTCGTGTACGAACCTACAGCTGAGGCAAGAACTTACTGAGAGGATTTTGGTAATCCGAAGCCTGAATTCAAGGACCTATCACTAGCATATGACTATAATGGGATCCTAATCTGTTCGGAGGTCAGAGTCACCAAAACTCCGAGGTCGGCTAACAGTAGTGCCTCGTCAGCCTATGACAAGCTCAAAGCGAGTTAGACGGCATCCTCTAAGGCTCCGGCACAGCGGGCTTAGGATGTAGGGACTTAGTAAGTATGGTTATACGCCCAACAAGGCACATAGTAGCCCAAGTTATCCTTAAATCCTAAACCCTAAGCCTTAAACCCAAGTTATCCCTAAAGCCTAAACCCTAACCTACTTACTCAGCCCCCCAAACCCTCCAGGTAGGCCAAGCTAGGCTGGTAGGTACGCTTTTGCAGGTCTATATGCTTAGGAATGTCTGTGTATATAATGGTTTTTACAGGGGTACACTTAGAAGTATGGAATCAACTGAGTTTTGTGTGCTGCAGCTTTGTAGCGGGCATCTCGATCGGATATTGATAGCTGATCGTGTTTGGACGGCTCGAGTGCTGAAGCATGTAAGATTCACAGAACACAAGTGTCTGCGCAGGTTAAACGAAGAAAGGGTCTGAGCGTGTGTGTCAAGTATTACTACATGTGTAGCAATGATGCTGCTCCTTATCCTTGTCATTACTGTGATGCAGACAGCAATGACACCTAAAGTCAAAACAAAAAAAACTCGAATCTCGAATTTAGAAAGCTCAGAGAAATAAAAGCCACAACGCGTGTTATTGAAGAAACTTGCCCTCATCTTCACCGGTATGTACAGAGTTGCAAATGTCATTGTGATATGACCATCCTGGTCAAAACCCTCATTGCAAGCTGAGCCCATGACCTCCACAGGTTGCGCTGGGAGCGCAATGCGCTGCACGTCAGGGAGGCTTCCTGGGTTGCTGTTAAGGAACGTAAATTAAGTTGCCATAATGGGTATACGTAGTAAATAATAGGGTTTCCGCAATATAGTAACTCAATTTAAGCTCCTTAAATCCCTATATACCCCCAGTTTCCATTTCATTTTCCATTTTCTTTTCCATTTGATTCTCCAATATAAGGGGGATAATCACTCAATTTAAGTTCCTTAACAGCAACCCAGCTTCGAGGCTCTTCCGGCACAGGCGCAGCCCAAGGAGGAGCTCGAATGGACTGAAGAATTTGGCCTTTAGGGTTTAGGGTTTAGGAAGGGTTCAGGGTTTAGGGTTTAGGGTTCAGGGTTTCGGGTTTAGGGTTTAGGGGATCATCTGCGAGTTTGTTTAGCTATGTAACCCCAAGAAATACGTAGGCTACAGAGAGATGCAGAAATTTGAGGCTGCTATAGTATACTCTTTAACCCCAAACCCTGAACTTCCTCTGCTTCATCCTCCGATTCCCTGCCTACGGTCCCACGTGCAGTCGAGTCGTCAATGTTGCCCATTACCTGAGTTTGGATTCTTTTCAAAATTTGGGGCCCCTAGAACCTCTTGCAATGAACAGAGATTAAAAAGGGATTAAAGGAGCCCTTACTAAAGACATATGGGCCTTCCTTTCCAAACTCCTAGTTGTTGCTGCAGCACAATCAGAAAAGAGACCACCTGATGCGGAACTGTCCAACGGAAAGTATCAACGAAAGAACCTAGCCTCTTTCCTCAGCTTGCCACGCAAATTGTAGATTAGGAAGTTTCCCACCAAGTACTTACTAGTATGATCCGTACAGCAACCCTAGATCCCCTTTATAGCCGCAAAAGTTCCTGGTCTTAGCAGGAGCAGAATTTCACACAAAAAACTTCAAGGCTCGGGAATAGTACTAGTAGTAATAAATACGAATAACAATACTAATAATACTAATAAAAGTAATAATTTGGGTACTGCCCCCCCAGTAACAGTCTATATTGGGGGTCCTATTAAGGGATATATAAAACCAAATGATAATCGTTATCCAACTGTTACTGAGGGGGGGCAGTACCCAAGTAATAATGTAGCATGTAGGTTATGAGTGGGATGACAAGTCACCTGAATAGGGTGAAGCCGCTTCAAGACATACCTTCTGAATCCCAAACCTCCAAGTACTCCTTCAAACGTACCCGTCGATGATGCCAGTGTCCATTTCGTTTTCCATCTTCTTTTCTAGTTGATTCTCTAATATGTTTTGGCTCTATGTCCCTATGACACTCTACAGAAAGTTCAGTGAACAACTCTTTTCGATTTCATCCTCCATGATGGGGTTTATATCCCTACGTAAACTTCAAGACCCGATAAACCCTAAACCGCACTATTCATCATTCATCCCCAAAATAGGGCAACCCCAGTATAGACCCCCGAAGACTATAATCATCATCATGGGAATCCCCAAAAGTTCCCCTAGTTGCGGGAAACCCCCAAATTATCCCCCACTCGCCAGGTATGATCCAGCCACCAGTACATCCACGGCCAGGGGCTTTGATAGGATGAGGTTCCCCAGAGACCTCAGGGTGGTTGTAGGGGATACATAGGGGGTATATTGCGACAATGGAAAATAAAATGGAAATAGCTATTTAGGGTTTGGGGGTTTAGGGGTTTTCGGTATCTACTTCATTGAGACCCACACTTGCGAGACACCCGCCTCACAACTGCCGTCGGGTCTGCAAGAGCTAATCCAGCTATCGACTCCTGCAGAGGCAGCGATCAACAAAAGCCGGGGATTGGATTTAGGATCTATAGGTGTGGCTCTCCAAAACCACATTCCAAGGACCAAGCCACATGATGCGGTACTCCTCGATAATCGATACGCTGCTATGCAATCCCTAGATGATGCCAAAATATGGGACCCCAAAAATGCCACGCCTGGGAAATCCCCAGGGCAGGTCACGCACTAATTAGTCTCTGTTCCTGATGGCTTGCAACGGGAATGTTACCCGAAATCACAGTGAGGTGACGGGATTGAGAAACGATTCTTGCAGTGCCCACTTCTTACCAGAAGCCCTTAGAGGCGACTTAATTAGTATGAAAGTAGGTTCGAGAGCCTCTAAAAGCAGTTCAACCCCCAATTCAGGGGACTTACAACCCCATTTTGCCTACAAACGGGAAATGAACTTCCAAGCAAGATCACAAGCTGCAGGCATTTCCTCAAAAGCCGATGCGGTCCTCCCGTGAAAGGGCATCTCCAGTCAACAGCACTTTGGCAGCTTGCACGGCATACCTGTGATATAGAGGGGTTATATTGGGATAATGGAAAATAGCATGGAAACTACCATGTTATGTATGGATTAGAAAGGGGTTATCTAGGGGGTTGTGTAGGGCTTATATTGGGGCTATATTGGGNNAAAGAAAATGGAAACTACTAATTAAGGTTTAGGGGTTAGGGGTGTTCAAAAACCTGCTCCCATAAACGTATCTTGCACTGGATCGCAACTTAACAATAAACCCTATTCAGTTCTGACCGAGATGCTTGGCGGGGAGGTCTGGGTAGGTGGAATATGTGTCGAACAGTTCCTGCTTTGTCCAGTTAAACTCTGGACCAAGAGCTTCGCTTGCGTTGAAGTGGAAATCGTTCAGCAGCTCGCCAAACCTGAGACGAAAATGGCTTTAGGAATCAGGGTGTTAGTTATTAGGGTTTAGGGTTTAGNNGTTTAGGGATCAGGGTTTAGGGGATCCCTGGACCTGTGCTGATGCGAGGAGAGAATCAAACCTTTTGAAATTGCTAAAAATATCTGTTGGGTACTCTCCCCTCCCAGTATCCGGTTAAAATTGGAGTATTCCGGGCCTTACATCTCCATACAAGAAATATTATGCAACGGTTACTGGCTCACGGCAGTTTTCACCCTAAATCTTTAACCTAAGGACTCTAACAAATCTGTCAAACGCACGTTCCCTCGGCACATCCTCCTAAATCACAGCAGTGCTTGTACACCAGCCTTAGGGTTATAGGGTGTAGGACAAACTCTCAAAACCAAACCCTGCCCCCCTTTCACTGCAGGCTGTGCTATTTGGACGAGACACGTGGTAATCCAGCGCTTGAAACCCAAATTCTGCCCCATAATGCATTCTGCTGCTAAGAACAGACTAAGGCAACACTTGTTGTTTTGGAAATTTTTCTCTTTGTTTTTAGAGCTCTTTTCCTGTGACCTGGCAGGCTG